TATATTTATAATTGTTATATCTACTTCTTGGATTGATCCCTTGATCATTATGTAGTGTCCTTCCTTGTCTCTTGTAACATTCTTTATTTTAAAGTCTATTTTATCTGATATGAGTATAGCTACTCCAGCTTTCTTTTGATTTCCATTTTCATGGAATATCTTTTTCCATCTCCTCACTTTCAGTCGGTATGTGCCCCTAGGTCTGAAGTGGGTCTCTTGTAGACAGCATATAGATGGGTCTTGTTTTTGTACCCATTCAGCAAGCCTGTGTCTTTTGGTTGGAGCATTTAATCCATTCACATTTAAGGTAATTAGTTATATGTATGTTCCTATGACTATTTTCTTAATTGTTTTGGGTTTGTTTTTGTAGGTCCTTTTCTTCTGTGTGTTTCCCACTTAGAAAAGTTCCTTTAGCACTTGTTGTAGAGCTGGTTTGGTGGCGCTGAATTCTCTTAGCTTTTGCTTGTCTGTAAAGGTTTTGATTTCTCTGTCAAATCTGAACGGAGATCCTTGCCAAGTAGAGTAATCTTGGTTGTAGGTTCTTCCCTTTCATCACTTTAATTATATCATGCCACTCCCTTCTGGCTTGTAGAGTTTCTGCTGAGAAATCTGCTGTTAACCTTATGAGAGTTCCCTTTTATGTTATTTTTCATTTTTCCCTTGCTGCTTTTAATAATTTTTCTTTGTCTTTAATTTTTTCCAATTTGATTACTATGTGTCTCAGCCTGTTTCTCCTTGGATTTATCCTGTATGGGACTCACTGCACTTCCTGGACTTGGGTGGCTATTTCCTTTCCCATGTTAGGGAACTTTTTGACTATAATCTCTTCAAATATTTTCTTGGATCATTTCTCTCTCTCTTCTCCTTCTGGGACCCCTATAATGCAAATGTTGTTGCATTTAATGTTGTCCCAGAGGTCTCTTATGCTGTCTTCATTTCTTTTCATTCTTTTTTCTTTAATCTGTCCCACAGCAGTGAATTCCACCGTTCTGTCTTCCAGGTCACTTATCTGTTCTTCTGCCTCAGTTATTCTGCTATTGATTCATTCTACTGTAGTTTTCATTTCAGTTATTGAATTGTTCATGTCTGTTTGTTCTTTAATTCTTCTAGGTCTTTGCTAAACATTTCTTGCATCTTCTTGATCTTTGCCTCCATTCTTTTTCCGACGTCCTGGATCATCTTCACTATCATTATTGTGAATTCTTTTTCTGGAAGGTTGCCTATCTCCACTTCATTTAGTCGTTTTTCTGCGGTTTTATCTTGTTCCTTCATCTGGTACATAGACCTCTGCCTTTTCATCTTGTCTATCTTTCTGTGAATGTGGTTTTTGTTCCACAGGCTGCAGGATTGTAGTTCTTCTTGTTTCTGCTGTCTGCCTTCTGGTGGATGAGGCTATCTAAGAGGCTTGTGTAAGTTTCCTGATGGGAAGGATTGGTGGTGGTTAGAGCTGACTGTTGCTCTGGTGGGCAGAGCTCAGCTTGACTGTTGATGGGTGGGGCTGGGTTCCCTCCCTGTTGGTTGTTTGGCCTGAGGCAACAGTACACTGGAGCCTACCTGTGCTCTTTGGTGGGGCTAATGACAGACTCTGGGAGGACTCACGCCAAAGAGTACTTCCCAAAACTTCTGTTGCCAGTGTCCTTGTCCCCACGGTGAGCCACTGCCACCCCCCCACCTCTTCCTCCATCACTAGCTGGCAGCTCTGGTTCAATCTCCCCTGGAGTCACTCCTCCTTTCCCTGGGTCCTGATGCGCACACTACTTTGTGTGTGCCCTCCAACAGTGGAGTCTCTGTTTCCCCAAGTCCTGCAATCAATTCCCACTAGGCTTCAAAGTCTGATTCTCTAGGAATTCCTCCTTCCGTTGCTGGCTCCCCAGGTTGGGAAGCCTGACATGGGGCTCAGAACCTTCCCTCCAGTGGGTGGACTTCTGTGGTAGAAGTGTTCTCCATTCTGTGAGTCACCCTGTGAGTGACTCACTCTGTGAGTCACTTCTTTCTTAGACTCCAGTTCAAGTTTTTGGTCCATTTTTCTAATGGGTCATCTGCCTATTTCTCACTGATTTGTAGGAATTATTTATGTATTCAGGTTCTTTACACAATGTTCACAAACAGGCAAAGCTTATCTATTTTAGTTTTTCAAAAATATTTTAAATTGAAATAAATTTACTTATACACACACACACACACCACCACCACCACCACCACCACCACCACCACCACCACATGCACAGAGTAATTGGTCTGACCTAAAGAGGTGGTTGCAATTCTCAGTCCTGGGAGGAACACGAGAGCTTTGGGTCTTCTAGGCCATACAGTGTGCTTGAATCTGCTCAGATGCCTCCATGTTAGCGTGGTCACTGAAGGGCATGACTTTCAGGGGCTGACTGCATAGGACATGGAAGAAGTCAGCACCAATTGCCATGGTCTCATGGCCTTACAGCAGGTCCCCACTATTGACCTGGTCATCAGCAATTGAGATCATTGGAATCAAGAACAATGTGGTGCCCATTCTCATTTCACTAGATTTCCCCAAACCTTGCATTCTGGTGTGACCCAAGCATAAGAGAGAAAGTGCTAAACATGCACTGATATTAAATTTACTGCTAGTCTCAGGGTGTAAATTTTGAGGTAAAAGTTAATCTAATTTATAACTTATTTTATGAAATACTTATGAAATACTTATTTTATGAAATACTTATGAAATACTAATTTTTGAGTTACAGATCCACAGTAAATTATTTCTGTAGAAAATGAATACAAAAAATTATAACTCCAACTAAAGATAAAAATTATGCAAACAATACAGTTATGATTAGGAATGACTAAAGTAAGATCAACCTTAATATTGCATTATATTGTAGAATGCCATTTCAATTAGACATTATACTGATTAGATTTGGAAACATAAAAGCATACAAAAACAGATTTAACCTAATGGATGATAACATGAGTCTTAGACCTAGTCCTTTATAGAAGCAAAGAGGTTCTGCCATTTGTGCGATTGTTTACTATATTTCCCCAACCGCATACACCAATTCCTCAAACTTGGCTATGAACTGTACTTTTTGGGACTGTGATGTAAGTCCCTTGTGTATGCAGATATGAAAATAGAATTTAGATATACTGAACTAAGCAGAGTTTTCAATACCAACCAATCAACTAAGGGCTCTTTTCACTCCTCCATTAAGTATTCAAGATGTTCCTATGCTTGGTTAAAATTGTACCTGGTCTAGGTTGATCACTTTGTGGAGTGACCCGTTTCCTCAACCTTGAATGGCCCATGCTCTCTCGGTACCTTGCACTCATCCGACTGCAGTTGCTGCATTAACCCGCTCATTTTTGTCATCAGGTGTAGAAATATCAAGATGCATCTAAAGGAATCTCCTGAGGTCCATATATATACTTGTTTCTGTCTCCATTGTATAAAAACAAGCCTGGGTAATTTTTCAGAGGCTACACTGACAAGGTTTGAGTTTCAGGTTTCAGTAGAACCCTTATTACATCCTTTCTGGAAACCAGAATGTCTAATAGAGCAAAGATTGACATCGTGGAGACAAGAAGCACACATTCCTGAAATGGTTTACTGGGAGTTTCAAGGGTTAAGGTCAGAGCAGACACCATGAGTGCTCTTCCCACATCCCCTCAGATTCTTCTTCCACTCCATGCACACGTGCCCCCAGTGTGAGCTCAACTTTCGCAAACCAGCACCTGTATGTTTGTCAATGGCTACTGTATTACTTTTCTGAGGCTGCCATAACAAAATACCACAGACTGGGTGGCTTAAACAACAGAAATTAATTTTCTCACAGTTCTGGAGGCTGGAAGTCCAAGACCAAGGTGTTGACAGGTTTGGCTTCTTCTGAGGCCTCTCTCCTTGCCTGGTAGATGGTCACTTTCTTTCTGTGTCCTCACATGGTCGTCCCTCTGTGTGTTGTCTTTGTACTAATCTCTTCTTATAAGGACATCGGTCATAATGGATTAGTGTCTACCCATATGATCTCATTTTACCTTAATTACCTCCTTAAAGACCCTATCTTCAAATACAGTCACATTCTGAGCTACTGGGTGTTAAGACTTAAACATATGAGTCTTGGGGGACATAATTCAGTCCATAACAGTTATCTTCAGTCTGTTACAATCACTTTTGCCATACAAGCAGGAATGAAATATGCCTGGGAATTTATGTTCCCCCAGCCATTGCTCTGAACCAATGGGTACAGAAGTGAGAATAATCTAACTTCTTTGCCTCTGAGGACCAATTCAGAGTTGTGGCCTACACTGTCCCCAGAACTCCATGACTGGAGTGAGCAAAAGTTATCCTCAGTTGAATGCGGCTTAATTAACGTATCCTTGACTGGTCTTCTTCCCTTACCATTCCCATTTCCTCACCCGCCTACGGTATTTTCTTGGGAATATATCCTAATAAATCACTTACACACAAATTCCCATGACAGGATTTTTCTTTGTCTTTGGGACTGTTATGAGTTGAATTGTGACTCCCCCAAAGATATGTTGAAATCCTAATGTGTAAATGTGACCTTATTTGGAAATAGGGTCTTTGTAGGTGTGCTTAAGTCAAGATGATGCCATACTGTCCAGTATTAGTCCTAAATCCAATATGACTGGTGTCCTTATAAGAAGAGGGAAACTTGAACAGAGAGACAGAGACACACAGGGAGAATGTCACGTGACCACAGAAATAAAAGGAGAGAACCGCCTGTGAAGACAGATGTAGAGGTTGGAGTGATGTATCTATAAACCAAGGAATGCCAGAAATTTCTAATTAATCACCAGAAGCCAAGAGAGAGGCGCGGAACAGATTCTCCCTCAGAGTGCCTAGAAGGAACCAACCCCGCCAACACTTTGGTTTTGGATTTCTAAACTCTGGAAGTGTAAGACAACAAATTTCTGTTGTTTTATGCCACAAACTTTGTGAGACTTTGTTATGGTAGCCCTAGGAAACCAATGCAGAAACCCAACTGAAAATAAGTAATTTCAGAAGTGGTCCCAGATAGCATACTCTTGGATGTGATTTTGGAATTAGATCACTTGCCAGCTGTATAGCAATAAAGATCCCATTGTAAGAGATAAACTGTGTTAAAAACCTGCTACTCGTTCTAGCATTATAACTGCTATAATTTTCACCAGTGGTGAGTTGGGATGGGATACAGGTGAGAAGAGATGCAATGACTTGCACAATACTAAGCATTTGAGAAATATGGAGGGATTTGTCAATTACCAACCTGGTGTACTGTGTGAAAGAAAGTTAGAAAGCCTCCATGGAAGCATTTAAAGAGATCCACTATTTCTGTAGCTAGAAAGCAGATGGAACTGAAGATTGGATGATGAACTATATGGAAAAAACTCACTTCCTCCTCTGTGTCTCTTTTGTTCTCACACTACTACCATAGTCACAACACTTCCAACACCAGATGTGTGGGTGTTTTTCCACACCAAGAAATTCTGACACCAGCTAGATGTGATACAATTTATCTCAGTTCTGACACTGTTTACCTGGAGATGGCATCAGATCCTACAAGGTAAGTGTTTAGTCCCACAAGACTTCTCCCCACTTCAGATGCCACTCACACGTAGTAGTTGCCCACAACTTCCATTTGACTAGGCTATAAATCAGAGGTTCCCATGGCCTCCTCCCCCTTGGATTTGATAATTTGCTCACAAAGCAGTTCACAGAACATAGGGAAACACTTATACTTAATAGTTTATTATATAATAAAGAATATGATAAAAGGTGCAGATGAACATCTAGATGAAAAACGTGTAGGACAAGGTATATGGGAAGGAGTGCAGAGCTTCCATGCCTTCTCTGGGTACATCACGTTACTCTCCCAGCAACTCCATGTGTTTGACCGCTGGGAAGCTCTCCAAACCCCATACTATAGGGATCTTTATGGAGGCTTCATCATATAGGCATGATTGATCATAAACTCCATTTCTAGCCCTTCTCCCCTCTCTGGAGAATGGGTAGTGGGGCTAAAAAATTCCAAGGTTCTCATCATGGCTTGTTCTTTTTGGTGACCAGCCCCCATCAAAGAGCCCACCAAGGGTCTCCTCATTAGAACAAAGGACACTACTATCACCCAGTAAATTCCAAGGGATTTAGGAGTTCCACGTCAGGAACAAGGGTCAAAAGCCAAATATTAGAACAAAAGATACCCCTAATACTCTTCTCACTCAGGAAATTACAAGGCTTTAGGAACTCTGTGCCAAGAACTGGGGGCAGAAGACAATATATAAATTTTCTATTATTTCATAAGCACTTTTTTATTGTAAAAATAGTAGACAAATAATGATTACTGAATCCACAGCCTGGCAAGTTTTTTATGCTAAAATCAAAGCCCTGATAGGAAAGGAGTGGGGCTCTAAGACATTGAATGGAGACATATGGGTAGATGGGTTCAGAACATGGGACCCCTGATTCCTCTGAACCCCTGGGCCTGCAAGCACAGCCTACTTTGTTTTGCTGAAGAATAGCAGCCTTCTCTTGCCTGAAGACCATACCAAAACCTCAACTGAGTTGGATGCTTTGGAGGATAGTAATTGTTCTCTTCAAGATCTGACCCCACTCCCCCTCCTTGTCCTCTAGTTCTTTAACAAGTCTCAGCATGGGCCAACTAGGGAAGTACTTCCTTGCTAGAGGCAAAAAGGAATTATTTACCAAAGGAACTTCAGGACACGATTAATTGTAGCAAAAGAAATCCGGGGTGGGGGTGGGAGAGAGCAGGCCAGGAAGTAGATCTTGATAGCATTGGATTTGGGTAGGGGTTAGGGATGGTGAAAGATAAGCTCCGTAAGGGAGAACTGTCCAATAAGGGAGCATTCTCCCATGACTGAAAACTCCCTGGCAAGAACACCTGGAAATGGTCCTAAAATATTGTTGGGATGGTTACTGGAGGCTTGCGGGGACAAAAGGCTCCTATTAAATTAAGGGCAAACGACAGAATTCCCCTGGCAGAGCTTTGAGGAAGAAATCAAAACGCTCAGGGAAGTAAGCTTGTTAGAATGGCTCTATTGTATAACGGTTAAGAACCCACCAGCTGGCTAACCATTCTTTGGAAGGGCCAGAAAATGCTCTCATCACTAAGCTTATGAAGAATAAGCTAGTGATGGAGGTACTGGCATGTCTGGCAAGCTCAGTGGTGACTGCACCAGGGTTGGTGATAGGCAATACTATTAGAGAACCAGGCTCCCTGCTGTCAGTGGGAATGATATGATTCCAGAATAGCAGAGGTCAAGTGGCAATACTCAACCACTAGGGATCTATGGTGATGGCTAATATGCCAAGATGTTGCTAAAGGAAAAATAGATGGACAGATGACAAGAGCATGGCTCGATATACATAATGAAAAATTATTAGAATTGGATGGCATAAGGCTGATTTCATCAGTGCCCATGGAATACCACTTCCGCATCCAGTTTAAAAACCGAGCCAGTCCTCACACCCACAGAAGGGCCCTACAATGCCACAAGTATATACTGTAGACTTTTCTGCGATTTAATTTGTCATATTTTGCATATAATTCACTTCTAATTTGAAATTAGTCAGCAAGTCCACTATGTACATTCTAGTCTCTTTATACTGGCTAATGACGCCTCTCATGTCCGGAATACACTTTTGTACCTTCTCTGTGTGAGTGCTACCCTGTTTTAAGTCTTCAGTAAAGTCTCTCTCAATGACCTCCATGTCTTGGTAGCCTCCCCTTCCTCTAAACAGCTATCCTGTTCATTTAATATTTACTATATTCAGCCTTGATTAGTTGTTGAAATTTTTATATGTAGAGAAAAGTCCTGGGAATTCCCTGGCGATTGAGTGGTTAGGACTCTGTGCTTTCACTGCCGAGAGCGTGGATTCAATCCCTAGTCAGGGAACTAAGATCCCGCCAGGAGCGCAGCACAACCAAAAAGAAAAAAAGAAAGAAAAGTCCATTTTTCCAACTCGATTCTTAGACCCTTGCAAACAGGATCAATCTTATATGCCAGTACTTATTACAGTGCTCTCTTGCTTAACAAAATCTTAATTAGAATTTTCCATTTAGCATTTTAATCCCTTTCATTCTTTGAACTAGAAATGGAGCTGTTTATCACTGCTTATAAGAATGCAAATATTATTACATCCATACATTTATCTTAGATTCTTAATTGGCAGAATTACTTGAAATCCTGGAAATAAACTTAAATAGGAGTATTTAATATGGAATGATTAACCTGGGTATTCAGGTAGATTCAATTCAGGGTTTTTTTTTTTTCAAGCTGGAATTATGTTTTCAACATCAGATGAGTCAAAGGAAATAATAGCCGCTGTAGAACAGGTACATAGTCTTACAATTTAGGCCCTTTTATAACTCTGTCATCTATTACTTCATATTGACTACAAAGCCACAATCGCTATCATTGTATCCTTCCATAAATTATCATGCCAAAATGGGAAATGTGACTGTTTCCTAAATGCTGAAAATTATCAAAGTGTCTTCGCCCAGAGAGACTTGAAGAAGATGCTGGGACCACTCTATTCAATATCAAAACTTGTTATGCAATTTTAGAAATTAAGATACTGTGGTACTGGTTAAGAGAAAGACTAAAAGATAGAACAGAATAGAAATAATACCTATCTATCTATCTATCTGCCTTTATAGATGCACACACAAATATACACATATGCACACATTTATAGCTTATAAAATCTTCTTTATATATGATAAATCTCACAAGAAAAAATTTAAAAAGAAAGAAGGATTCAAAGTTAATACGGTGATAGCAAAAAAATAGCTTTGAGTTTTTGAGTATTTTTTTCAAGGTAGTCACATCCCAGCATATAACCACAAACTTAAAAAAGAGACCATTTACAGGATGATATAATCCTTTCAAAAATATACTTATCCTCAGTTTCTTGATTAAATCAGATATTCTTCCACTTGACAGAAGCCCTTGGTTCCCATTTTTGTTAGCATTTGTTGATTACTCTGAGGACTTCATCCAGTACCTCACACTTAACTGTTTTGTGCTGAAATGAAATACTTCATTAAACTATGAAACCCATATTTCTTAATTTTCAATTCAAGCAATGATGCTTTTTGCTTTTAATTTTATTTCCTTTTTAATCCTAAGGATATTAGAGCAAACACACAAAGATGACAGCGTTTCTACTTTAACATCCATCTGCTTTGAATTCTCAGCGTCCTGTACTATAATTATTTCTATAGCAACCAGCTAAGGAAGTGCCTTGACAGCCACAGACTCAAAAGAAGAACATGCTGTGACAGGCTTAGCACTCGGCCATAGGGCTTTGTATCTCCTTGAGTTTCCAGTATTAAACATTACAGCTTCAGAAGCCCATGTCTTTCTCTCCTCCTTGGTTTCTAGTATCAGTAATATTTCTGCTCCTACAGCATCATTGGCATCTTTTTCTAACATGCTGCTGCTTTTTCTTCAGAGCTTTTCATTAAATCGCTTATAAAACTCCCCTCATTCCTGTTTTATGACATGTAGTATTCTGATAATAAAATGATAAACATTTTGTTTGTTCTGAATGGAAGCTCATAAACACAGTCAAGAGAAATGCAATCATCAATAATTCACCTGTTTTCTTTCAGCTTCTTAAGATCTCTTCTAATCTATTTTCCTTAAGTGATGAACTCTTAGGAAAATTGGATCATGTGAAGTTCAGAAAACACAGAAGTTCAGAGAACATCAAAAAAGTACAAAAAATGAATTCATTCTCCAAAATAACTTCACTTTTATCCCGAAAAAATGCAGAATGGTAAAACAACTATTTACAAAAGAAAACCTAAACTTGTCTTATTTTAAAACTCCATTTTATCTTGGAAAATTATCTTCCCTAATTAGGGACCAGCTTTGTTCTTATTTTTATGGTCTAGTCTTTAGTTTATTTGTTGTGAGGAACAAAATAAATCTTTATTGAGAAATGTCTATGTATCACATACTGTGCTAAGATTTCTACAGAGATTTTCCTCATAATCAACTAGCAACTATATGGAATACTAATTGTTATGTATATTTTACAGATGGGAAATTGAGGCACAGAAAGATTAAGAAACTTTTAAAAAGTTATATAGCTAGTCAGTGGCAAATCAAATTTGTTCTGCTATAATTAGATTCCAGAATCTCTGCTGTTACCTCTCATGTTACAAAGTTTCTCATCATCTTACCACTCTTTTTTTTTTTTTAACATCTTTATTGGAGTGTAATTGCTTTATAATGCTTTGTTAGTTTCTGCTGTATAACAAAATGAATCAGCTATACTTATACACATATCCCCATATCCCCTCCCTTTTGTGTCTCCCTCCTTATCCCACCCCTCTATGTGGTCACAAAGCACGGAGCTGATCCCCCTGTGCTATGTGGCTGCTTCCCACTAGCTAGCTGTTTTACATTTGGTAGTGTATATATGTCAATGCTACTCTCTCACTTCATCCCAGCTTACCGTTCCCCCTCCCCGTGTCCCCAAGTCCATTCTCTACTTCTGCGTCTTTATTCCTATCCTGCCCCTAGGTTCATCAGAACCTTTTTTTTTTTTTTTTTTAGATTCCATATATATGTGTTAGAATACGGTATTTGTTTTTCTCTTTCTGACTTACTTCACTCTGTATGACAGACTCTAGGTCCACCCACCTCACTACAAATACCTCAATTTCGTTTCTTTTTATGGCGACCAATATTCCATTGTATATATGTGCCACATCTTCTTTCTCCATTCATCTGTCGATGGACACTTAAGTCACTTCCATGTCCTCACAATTGTCAAGAGTGCTGCAATGAACATTTTGGTACATGACTCTTTTTGAATTATGGTTTTCTCAGGGTATATGCCCAGTCGTAGGATTGCTGGGTCATGTGGTAGTTCTATTTTTAGTTTTTTAAGGAACCTCCATACTGTTCTGCATACTGGCTGTATCAGTTTACATTCCCACCAACAGTGCAAGAGGGCTACATTTTCTCTACACCCTCTGCAGCATTTACTGTTTGTAGATTTTTTTTTTTTTTTGCAGTACTCGGACCTCTCACTGTTGTGGCCTCTCCCGTTGCGGAGCACAGGCTCCGGACGCGCAGGCTCAGCGGCTATGGCTCACGGGCCCAGCCGCTCTGCGGCATGTGGGATCTTCCCGGACCGGGGCACGAACCCGTATTCCCTGCATCGGCAGGCGGACTCTCAACCACTGCGCCACCAGGGAAGCCCTGTTTGTAGATTTTTTGATGATGGTCATTCTGACTGGTGTGAGGTGATACCTCATTGTAGTTTTGTTTTGTTTTGTTTTTTAACATCTTTATTGGAGTATAATTGCTTTACAATGGTGTGTTAGTTTCTGCTTTATAACAAAGTGAATCAGTTATACATATGTCCCCATATCTCTTCCCTCTTGCGTCTCCCTCCCTCCCACCCCTCTAGGTGGTCACAAAGCACCGAGCTGATCTCCCTGTGCTATGCGGCTGCTTCCCACTAGCTATCTATTTTACGTTTGGTAGTGTATATATGTCCATGCCACTCTCTCACTTTGTCCCAGCTTACCCTTCCCCCTCCCCGTATCCACAAGTCCATTCTCTAGTAGGTCTGCATCTTTATTACCGTCTTGCTCCTAGGTTCTTCATGACCATTTTTTTTTTCAGATTCCATATATATGTGTTAGCATATGGTATTTGTTTTTCTCTTTCTGACTTACTTCACTCTGTAGGACAGTCTCTAGGTCCATCCACCTCACTACAAATAACTCAGTTTCGTTCCTTTTTATAGCTGAGTAATATTCCATTGTATATGTGCCACATCTTCTTTATCCATTTATCTGTTGATGGACACTTAGGTTGCTTCCATGTCCTGGCTATTGTAAATGGAGCTACAATGAATATTTTGGTACATGACTCTTTTTGAATTGTGGTTTTCTCAGGGTATATGCCCAGTAGTGGGATTGCTGGTTCATATGGTAGTTCTATTTTTAGTTTTTTAAGGAACGTCTATACTGTTCTCCTTAGTGGCTGTATCAATTTACATTCTCACCAACAGTGCAGGAGGGTTCCCTTCTCTCCACACCCTCTCCAGCATATATTGTTTGTAGATTTTTTGATGATGGCCTTTCTAACTGGTGTGAGATGATATCTCATTGTAGTTTTGATTTGCATTTCTCTAATGATTAATGATGTTGAGCATTCTTTCATGTGTTTGTTGGCAGTCTGTGTATCTTCTTTGGAGAAATGTCTTAGGTCTTCTGCCCATTTTTGCATTGGGTTGTTTGTTTTTTGATATTGAGCTACATGAGCCGCTTGTACATTTTAGAGATTAATCCTTTGTCAGTTGCTTTGTCGGCAAAAATTTTCTCCCATTCTGAGGGTTGTCTTTCCATCTTGTTTATGGTTTCCTTTGCTGTTCAAAAGCTTTTAAGTTTCATTAGGTTCCATTTGTTTATTTTTGGTTTAGTTTCCATTTCTCTAGGAGGTGGGTCAAAAAGGATCTCGCTGTGATGTATGTCGTAGAGTGTTCTGCCTATGTTTTCCTCTAAGAGTTTTATAGTGTCTGGCCTTACATTTAGGTCTTTAATCCATTTTGAGTTTACTTTTGTGTATGGAGTTAGGGAGTGTTCTAGATTCATTCTTTTACATGTAGCTGTCCAGTTTTCCCAGCACCACTTATTGAAGAAACTGTCTTTTCTCCACTGTATACTCTCGCCTCCATTCTTAACTATACATCACCATTTTTTCACATCACGTCCATGGATACATAAAGTAAATGACATTGACACCATCCTTCTTTTATAGATGAGAGAAATGACATAAAGTCACTCCCCCCAAAAACTTCTTTAAGAATGGTAAAAAACAAATAAGCAAACCAAAAAAAAAAATTTTGTGTGTGTGTGTGTGTGTGTGTGTGTGTATGTGTGTGAAACGAAGTTTTACTCCTCTGGCTTAGTTCATTTTCTCATAACTTTCGAAGTTCATGTAACACTAAACTGTATTAAAATTAAAGTTCTATAAGAAAGAGGCTTGCACTTGGATTGCTTGTGGTATAGCTTTTCAGAGCCTGGTCTTTAGAGAATAATTGCCCCCTGTTTAAGTTCAAGTTCTCTCACATATAGACTGTGGGCAAGTTATCTAACCAATGTGAGGCCTCTTGTAAGGTAAGGATAATAATGGTATCTGGTTCACTGACTGTTACAAGAATTATCTCCGGTAATACATGGTACAAAGTTTTTGCATAATGCTCTACAGTGTGTATGTGTGCAATAAATATTATCTTTTGCCTTTAAAAGATGGGCTGAAGCAAAATTGGAAGGCAGAAAAAAGATGAAAGATGATTTTGGATGGAAAAGAGGATTTCTCTGTGGAAAATGTTCAGATTCTACATATAAGACATATAGGAAATACAGAGTGAAAAATAAATGGGTATGATTGGAAGTAGTTTAATTAATTCTAGCTTTAAAGCTTCACCTAATGCCACTGCTTTATTCTGTAACTTGTAGATTTACTTTGTAATGACTGATTCTGTAAAACTGGATTATGGTTTTATTTTTGTGAAAGAATCTTTTTGTCTTCCTTACTATTTCTAGTTTTTATCTAATGTTTTAAATTATAGCTCAAATAAAATAGTTTAATTAAAAGACCTTCATAACTCAATGTTTCATCACACTGGATTTCAGGTAAAGTTAGTTACTGGATGTGTGAGTTTTTCCAATCCCATTAAGAAAATAGTAAAAAATAGAATAGCCTTTATACTTGGAACTCTATCAGTAATAAATGACCCACAAAGTGTCCATAAAAATTAGCTATCCTGATGAGCATTTGTGATTCACATTGTATACTCTATGGTGAGCCAAGGTATCTATTTCTTAATAATCTTACTAAGGGCTCTGTCAGGACTCTGGCCAACAACTGGCTTGATGTTTGCATTTTGTGTGTGATGTAGTTTTTTCCTTGGTTGACTCTTATGGCCCCACCCTGATGAACCAGTTGTAGCAAGCCTCAGCATTTGTACGTAGAATACATTCTGCCTCTTGCTCACCGAAGTAGCTTTCTGTGTACCTGACACCTGAGGTAACCATCCATAATCCAAATACCTTCAAGAGGTACTTTTAGATTGATACTCCCTGTTTTTCCATATGTCTTGTCATATTCTCAGAGAAGTAATGTCATCCTAGCATCAACTATGTATCATGTGAAATAGCACAGAATATTTCCTGGAACATTTCTTAATTGCGTTGCTCCTCTACCCAAAATTGTGCTGAAATATTAGCCAATGGCCACAGTTTTAGGGGAAAAATATCTACTGATGTCCCATCAAAAGTTTCCAAATCTCCTCTCATTTGAAAGTGATGAACTCATGGTAGACTGGTTGATTTTTTTCTTTCCCAAATTTATTTCCTTAAGAAGAAATACAAGGTTTCCTAAACTTTTTTTCTTAAAAATCATTCCTATATTTTTAGCCCAGAATCTGTAGAAAGTGTAAGGTTTTCTTGGGGGGTGAGGGTGGGAAAGTCATCATCTTGATGATATTTTTTAAAAATCTAAGATGGGTAGTTTGAGAATGATGAAAATGATATAATTTATCTTTTGCTCTTCAATAATTAGCAAGGTCTTTAAGTTGAAATTTTTAATACTTCTCCCAAATTATATCATTCATGTCATTGATGGAAGCAGAATACTTTACATCATAAAATTTTCTAAATTTCTAGAAAGATGAATAAAACAAGAATTCCAATCAATAGTACCATCAATTATTTAAATACATCACACATACAGAGTGGCAGAGTATTTTGAAGTTTATTTAATTGGATTGTTCTTCAACACGTGAGATCAAAATAAACCATGATATCTATGTATTTGACTAAGTTCATGCTTTGGTAGTTTTCTAGTTGGTTTGTTTTGAAGGTGGAATAATGGTATTTTGTATTACATTTCCTGTAATCAATAAAACTTATTCTTGGCAATTTTATAGGGATTATAAGTTATTTGAAATCAAAAATACAAATAAGGTTGTCTGGAGAGTCAACTATTTATTTTCTAAAGAACTCTAAGAAAATTGGAACCTAAGTATTTCAGTGATTTCAGGGAATAGAAGGAAAGACATAATGAAAGAAGATTTCAACATAAAAACTGAAAGGTAAGAGGTAATTCAAGGATAAAAGAACTTCAGAGACTAAGTCAAAGAAAATCATGAAAAACAGTAGAGTTCAAGAGCAATCAACCCAGAGAAAAGGTTTTGAGCGGACAAAAACTAGGCATGCATGATGCCTTTTCATTGCATTCCATTCATTATAAAGACAATGAATTAATCAAACCATCTCATTATTTCATCACCTAGCTTTGTCTCGTGTCAAGCATGAAAAATGACTGAGAAGAACAAGTTTCAAAAAGAAAGAAAACTTTGAAGAGTATGAACACACGGTGAGTGCTAACTCCCAAAGACCTGGTTTTTCAAGAATCGTACAGGAAATTAAATAATGATGTAGTAGTTAGAAATATGGGTGTGCTTTTGAGGTTCCCACACCCTCCTAAAGAGGGGAAACAAAATGGATGCCTGTGGTTCTATCAGTATTAAATGGTAAGTGTATGTGTAGGTTTGTAGTCACTACAAACCTCACATTCTGGTCTTATGTTTTGATTTTACCGTCAAGTAATAATTTTCTTTCTATAATTTATGTCAATCTGTAATTTAGAACTTTAGATAATTTTATGCCTCCAAATGTCTAAGTTAAAGGGGGCACCATGGTCTGCACTCAAAGAAAGTATAAGGTCTAGATTCCTCACTCTCCTATTTACTAATTACTCACTTTAACTAAATCTCAACTTCAGTGCATTTCAGTTTTGAAATATGTACAATGATAATATCACCTGCCCTACCTTTCCCACAATATAATTGTGAGGATGGAATAAATACATGTGACAAAAGTTTTGTAAGCCCTAAAGTGTAAAACCAATAGAAAGTTTCACCCCTCATGAATGTAGCAGATAGGACTTCACTTCTATCTCTCATTTTAAAGACTTTGTAGTTACATATTTGAGAAGAAAACACTAGGCACTTTTTTTTTTTTTTTTGCGGTACGCGGGCCTCTCACTGTTGTGGCCTCTCCCGTTGCGGAGCACAGGCTCCAGACGCACAGGCTCAGCGGCCATGGCTCACAGGCCCAGCCGCTCCGCGGCATGTGGGATCTTCCCGGACCGGGGCACGAACCCATGTCCCCTGCATCGGCAGGCGGACTCTCAACCACTGCGCCACCAGGGAAGCCCACTAGCCACTTTTTAATGTCCCTGACTGCACGGTGGTTTTGTCAAGAATCAGGCAGTCAGAAGATAAAATTCCAGGTGATCAATCATATACTTCATTCGAACAGTAACATGATTATTGGCAAGAAGACAACTTTATCATCTATACTCAAAAATAAGCAAACATTATATATATAAGTATATAATGTATACATAATATAAAGTATACATATTTATAAGTATTTTAAATATTCCACTCAAACCAATAAAGTGGTTTGAAGCACTCTATCTGAGATGTCTTATAAATATAGTGAATTATTAATGTTTCTGGTCTTAGTAAGTACAGTTCTAATGTATTTTTCTAAATAAAATGGCCTTAAATTGAAAAATGACCATGAGTAAACGTACCTTTCTGAATCAATATTTGCCTTATTATTCTTGGAAAAATCTACGCAATGTTGTTCAGCAAAGTGCCAATGAAGCTTCTATGCAGGAATCAGAGTAAGATGAATATAACGTGATGACTGTGGTCCCCTTTGAGTCAGATTCTATAGCAGAGTCCACTTTCCTAGTGTGTTTAAACTTTTCCAAATGAAATGCTGTCCATTATCACCTGTTCAAAAATATTGAGAAAATTTAAGTTACTGCAATTCAGGAACCTTGACATTGAGTAAATGTTGCACACACAGGCAGACACACACACACACATTTGTATTACAGCAGAACAGAACCAATTCAATTTTATAACTTAAATGATAAAGCATTGCTATAGGAGGTAAAACATTTCTACTGGGGCTGCAACACCCCTCTCCACACTCCTTGGTTTGCATTTGCTCTTTTGAGGAAGGCTTAAGCTTGTCTCCAGAATCTCAAATAAGTGCCTGAGTGTGTCCTACAGGGTGGAATCTGTTGAGTTTCAGTCTTAAACCACAAAGAATCAGCTAGTTAACCATAAATAAACAGTTGCATCATTACCTTCCCACCTGCTCACCCAGGCACAATGCCCTGTAAAGCTTTCTGTTTCAGAGTTCAGAATCATAGGTAGATAAAGCCTGTTGATTGGTTGGAGATGTACTTTATATCAGCAGTAGCTAGAGCATTAAAGAAACAAAGAGTCTTAATTCAGGTTTACCATGATGGATTGAATTGCCTCCTTACTCAGTTTCAAATAACTCTGCACTGGTCCCATGTAAAGGATTTATTTACTCGGGAACTTATCCAAGTCAGGCAGGTATTAACAGTGCTTCTTTTATCCTCGCTTCTCTCAGTTAGTTTCACCCTTAAAATGTTCCTCTCCACTCTCCTCTACCTGCCAGTCCTGTTTTTAAAAATTATATCCAAATATTTTTTTCCTTACAATGATATTCTTCTAAATCCCATTCTGGTCACTCCAAATTTTGTTAGTTAATAATGTGTCCACAATGGGTTATTAAACAAGAAAGCCATTTTTCATTACTGTCATCATATCATTAATTAACTAAAAAATTTCATTTTAAAATGAAGAAAGGGAGAAAAAAGAATGTTATAATGCAGAAACTGAAACTAGAATTGATTTCACAGATATAAATTTTCCATATCTGTTGCTCAGTCACAGGACCTGTGTTGTATTATGTAACAGCCAGTATTGGCTCATCTTTATTCTGTCCAAGCACTGCTAGTAGATTTCCTTTGAGCCTAAAAGATTATCGAGGGCTTCCCTGGTGGCACAGTGGTTGAGAGTCTGCCTGCCAATGCAGGGGACACGGGTTCGAGCCCCAGTCTGGGAAGATCCCACATGCTGCGGAGCAACTAGGCCCGTGAGCCACAGCTGCCGAGCCTGCGTGTCTGGAGCCTGTGCTCCGCAACAAGAGAGGCTGCGATAGTGAGAGGCCCGCGCACCGCAATGAAGAGTGGCTCCAGCTTGCCACAACTAGAGAAAGCCCTCGCACAGAAACGAAGACTCAATACAGCAAAAATAAATTAATTAATTAATAAAAATTCCTGTCCCAACATCTTCTTAAAAAAAAAAAAAAGAATATTATCGGGGGGCTTCCCTGGTGGCGCAGTGGTTGAGAATCTGCCTGCCGATGCAGGGGACACGGGTTCGTGCCCCAGTCCGGGAAGATCCCACATGCTGCGGAGCGGCTGGGTCCGTGAGCTATGGCCACTGAGCCTGCACATCCGGAGCCTGTGCTCCGCAACGGGAGAGGCCACAACAGTGAGAGGCCGCATACCGCAAAAAAAAAAAAAAAGAATATTATCGGCTTCCCAGTCATGGAAAGTAAACCAGATTGTTCTATTTGATTCCTTATTAAAGAATTCCTCAGACAAATGATCTCATTCTAATATAGAGATATCTCATCATTCATTATTCATTTAACAAGTACTAAGTGCCTACTATGTTTCAGGCACTGTGCTAGGGAATGGAACTAATAAGAAATAAATCAAAGAACTTATAGTCTGTTGGGGGAAATAGATATCAAACACATAACTACATAGAAGACTACACAAGAAACTATATATTCACATCAAATTCATTAAAAAGGAGTTCAGTTCCTCTTAAGTCATAATTAGACTAATTGTTTCCTTCTAATCCTGAAAGGGAATGTATGAAAAACAATTAATCCAAACACCTACTATATTTTGAGCTCTGCTCTATGTGGTAGACAAGAATGTCATTTGTAGTCAAACTGACCTGAGTTCAAATATTGTCACTTAATTCACTTTTCCTTTAGGAGAAAAAAATAATCTGAAATTCTGTGAACCTCACCTCATTTTTATCAACAGAAAAATGGAGATGGTAGCAATTTCTAACAGGATCTTTTTAAGGTTTAAATTAAAGAAGCATTAAAAACTCAGTGGGTGCTCTAAAGAAGTTTCTAAGACTATGGAACTATTAAGTACTAATGTAAACAAGAATTTGATTACTCAAAGGAATGAATTGGAAAGTTCAGGAGTACATACTGTAGGTTGCAGCTGCACTTTAAAGAATGCAAAGATTTATGGGGAAAAAAGGGAGTGTCTTTACTGGGAACAGGATGAGCAAATGTGCACAAGTGGGAACAGAGATTATTTGGGAAATGGTAGAGAAATTAGTCTTGTTTGGTTGAGGGTACATGTGAAGCTGAGGACATAGAATGGGAGAGGAAGAGGCAAGCCCTCAGGGTTTAGCTCTTGACTGCAGAGGAGAAGGTAAAAAACAAAATAAAATAAAGCAAACAAAAATAATATTTAGCCATTGCATTATCTTCCCATTTTTAGGTATTTTTAGAGATTAAAGCAGAGATGAAACTCTTACATTTTTACTTTATAAAACATGTTCTGTGTTTTTCTCGAGAAATGATATTGAGGGAAAAAGTTTCTCCCTGAGCCTGTGAACTAAGATTTCATTTGAAGGACAGGTACAGAACCAGGGCAACAACAGGCTCTTAATGAACATGGCAATTGTTTAAACTTGTCAATTAGAAATATAAATTATTGTATTATTTCACTTCACATATTTTTATATGTATTCTCAGCATTGATGGAATACATATATCAGAATATATATTATATATATATATATACACACATCTATTTTCTTCCACAGATTTCTACCTGAAATCATCATTTTCCTTTATAATAGTGCAATTATAATCTCTGAATGTATATGAAAGTAGGTCATTACCTTCAGGCATCAAAAAAGCAACATGAAAATATCAACCATTAGGAGAAAAAGAAGATTAAAAATGAGAGATGTTGGTTAATGTTCTCAATAATATATATAAAAAAAGAAAAGCAAGGTGCCAATCTTTATAAAAAGATTGCTTTCTTTTTTTAGTAAAATAAATATTTTTGATTTAGACTTTTTCTTTTAAAGGAAATTTAAATGTTATATTGCACACCAATCTTCCAAGGCTTTGGGCATTTGCTTTCTATTCTCCAGAACCTGAATCAAACATTCTTCTGGAGCTATCAATGACATATACATTATTTAGAGTTATAACTACAAAATGATTTGAATTAGTACCTTTGGGAAATTCACCCTTGACTTAGTGTGTATTCTAAGAACTGATCTGAACCTAAATCTCACATTCCACATGAAAAGTTGTGCTTTTCCTAAGTGCAAAATGGTGGACATTCCTAAGTACTCTTTGTCTCCATCTTTAGAATGAATCTTCTAGAATTTGGGGTAGACTGTAAACCTTAATTGGATACTTCTTGTCCTCCTGACTACAAATGGACCTCTTAGCTAAGCAGTAAACTGGCAGCAATTGGGAGCCTTACAAACCAGTCATGAAATTCCCAACAAAAAACATACTTTTAATAAGCTCTCATTACCTCAAATTTGCTACCTTTGAGGGCTATCCAGTTGAATGTACATCTTATGAAAAGTCATGAAAATTCAGTTCTACTCTTCATCTTATTTCTGTCTATACCTAAATGACAATGCACATCTTATTCAGTCAGTCAATCTCTAGCCCAAAGGCTTTTTTATGTTACATTGGAATGGGCTGAGCCAAGAAAGAACATGGCAGTCAACCATGATAAAATGAGAGAATCATATAACGGGACTTTGCAAATAGTGATGTACTGTATAAACTAAAGGCTTGTGATCAGAGTAGCAAAAATGTAAAAACAACAAAAAGATCATGTTGGTGGTTGTACATTGATAAGGACTATATTTTCCCCACCTTCACAATATTTCACTACGATAAAGAATAAATGAAATGAGGTTCTGTGACAATTGTAAAAAGAAAGTAGGCCTTATCTGTTCATGGCAAGTGGTTACAAATTTATAACACATTTGCAAAAACAGCAAATGCATAAATAATTAAACCGATTAACTTTGATGCTACTTATACGGAAAGTAGGATTTGATTGTTTTTTCACATTAAGTCAGTACCAAAGGGAGAATTTATTCTTTGCCTGTTGTTCATGATGGAAGCAATGTACAAAAATTTTCCTTACTTTTTTTTTAATGTAAAGATAGAATTTATTAGAGGGAAGGGTTGCTGCCAGAACAGTGGGCCGAATTCCTGGTAGTCTGGGAGAGTCGAGCCTTTCCTTACTTTTAAAATTTCCTATTATCCATAAATCACTGTATAGAATGTAGATGACTTTTTTCCAGCTATACCAAGGGGAAAATAAAGGCAATGCATTGTAGGCTGAGAGTTAAGGATTTTAAACCTTTCCAGGCAATAAAAGTGGAGATACTAAGGAAGACAGTGGATTCCGTCCCTGAAAGAATGTTGCAGACGTTTGTTGCTTGTTCTGAGAAACATTCTTACTGATGTTAAGAATAACCCTACCTTCTTTTGTGTAAAACCAACCAACCATTTCTGGTAAAGTCCTCCAGTCATAGTACATCAGCTCTCCGTCCCCAGTGGATGGTTTAAGGTATAAGGTATCGGCCAAGCTAGGACAATTGGAACCCTTCCAGGATTTTTTTTTTCCCAGACAGGGGAAGGAGCAATGCTCCTCTGATAGAGAAGTGATGAGAAGTGTGAAGGACAAGAATTTTGTCTGTTAAGTTTCCCACCATTAGGAGAAAAACTAGTCTGATTAATGCAGAGATAAGAGAAAGAGACAGAAACTTCAAACAACATGCAAATTCCTAGCTCTAACAGTCTGAGGGCTAGATCTGTACTTGAGTTACAAAAAAGACCTCTAGTCCTGTTCTCCTCTATTTCCCCCTTTCTGACTGAGCTTGTTGGAGTTCAGTTTCTGCATTAGCAATCCTGACTAATCCAGGGAACTTACATTTGACAGCACAAATCAACAATACCACAGATATTATTTACATTAAGAAGAGGTTAATTTACTTGTAAAATGATGACAAGCTAGTTGAAAAGCTTCCCTTACTTCTAATGCTATCTTCCCCGGGTGAGTTGCTGAGGCTCCCACAAGGCTTAACTTGCCAAAACCTTCTCTCTGTGTCTTGAATCTAGTCCTCTACCCTCCTCCCTAGTAAAGCCTACTTGCCATTACCTAGCCCACTGCAAAAGCTCAGTAAGTATTAGTAATTCCTTAATACCATCTGACCTGTTCTGGCCCTTTACATAGACTTTGAACAGTCTGGCCTTTTGCCCCTCTACTGTTGAGAGCTACTACAGTTAGCTTTAGTTGATTTGTCTTTTTTTTTTTTTTAATTAATTTTTATTGGAGTAGATTTGTCTTCTGATCCTCCTCTGTGTGTTCCTGCTTCTATTGGCCAATGTGGGATAAGCTATTCCTCCTGAATTTGACTTTCACTTTTGGACACAATGCCAATCCTGGATTTTTCAAGGTTCTCTTTTCTCACAACCCTTTCTGATCCATATTATGGAGGGATAGATGGGATTTCTTCACAGTATGTCCACAAGGGGCAAAGAATTGAATTTAGATGCTTTCAAAGGTTAAATTTTTACTGCCTTATGTTATCAACTTACTCTGGTTCTTCTTCTTTTTTTTTTAATCAAAGATATTGGCTATGATTATAAGAGAATGACCTAAACTATCAGACAATCTTCCATTTATGATCTATTGGCTGCAATTACCTCATAAGGCAAAAGTGCAATTTCAAAGTCTATACTCTAATGAGTAGATTATTTAAAAATTCCATAGGGACAAAAAGTTTTTTGTAAGTTTTTTGTTTTTTTTTTGGAGTGGGCTCTCTGACATAATACAACTTGTGTCATTAAAATGTAAGTTCTGTGAGGGTCATAGATTTTTGTCTTGTTTTTCACCAAGTCCCCAGTGCTTGGAAGAGGACCTAGTACATGTGATTGCTAACATTTGTTGGAGAGCTCACACATAGTGACTGTAGAGTTGAATTATTTTGCTAAATAATTGAATAAATGTTTGCTTTTCAGTGTGTGTGCCCCTACAACTTGCACAGCCCTGTGGACAATTAGAGAACGAATAAGAGTGCATCCTGCAGAAACTTGATCTAGTAGGGGAGAGCAACAATATAAAAATAGGTACGCTAAACATTCAAGTGAAATGATTCTGTATTCAAGATCCAACCAATGTGCTGTTTGCTTTCCTGAGAAGTAACACTCCTTTCTGTAGAGATTTGAAGTTATGCTATAGAGGATTGGCTTTTGAGCTGTGTCTTAAAATATGAATAGAATTTCCGCAGAGAGAAGCTCAAAGGCAGAGAATGCCTTGCCCTAGAAATCAGTCCTAAAATCTTTTCTGAGCCTTCATGAGACCAGCAGAAATAAAGAATAGTATGTTTCAGTAGCTGAAATAACTTTACTGTAATTTGTTAAGCACTACAGCTTCTTCAAGACACAAGTATTTAAGCACTTCCGAGTGCCCTCCCATGGAAAAAAATGTGGCCTTTCTACCATTTTTCCTTAAAGTGAAATGAGTAACTTGAAAAAAGCTTCTTCTGTTTTTATTTTTAAGAGTTTATGTTTCAGTTTGAAGCATGTGTCACATTAAACTCGAATTGCCTCGTAAAGAAAAATACAAGTAATTCAAGGAAAGGAAGGGCATTTTCTTTTCCTTACTTAAGTTTCGGCAGGATCGTGCAATCCCCGGCAAGTCTCCCTCCCCCTCTTCCTCACCCTGTGGCAAATTTTAAAGTCATGATTCATCAAACCACAGTTAGACATTCTGAACTGCGCTGACTCCTTCTGCAAAACAGGTTTGTTCACAAAATGGATTCTTCATTAATTCTTCTCAGCAAATCTCTTGTATGGTAGTGACATTCACGATACAATAGTTCTCTTCAATGCGGTACTAGTTTTCACAAAACCCCATCTATAGAGTTTTAAAAAATACCTTATAGTGATAGTAAACTTAGTACACTCAAGCTACATAGAAATGTAACTTAGATGTTTTTGTTTAAAGGAACTTTAGGAGACACTGCGTTTTAAGAGGTCCAAGAGTCAGTTCTTCTGATCTGCATTTCATTTCCGTATTGCAAATATCAAATGCTACAAAGAATATTTGTCTAACCCATCATTTCTAATCCCAGTGAGTTTTTGTGCTCTCTCTTTACTCAACTAAGCCTTTATTCTCTTTACACTTAGAGCAGTTTGAGCAAATTTACCTGTGTCCACAGTAAATATGCCTCAGCTCCAGGCAGCTGACTTCTTGTTCACCCAGATGGAAATTAAACTGAAATGTGCACATTGCAAGCACCTGCCACAGACTCTAAAAAATGCAAAACCTTAACCAGGCAACAGGATATAGTTTCAAATGGAAGGAAGAGCTGCCTAAGGATCTTTAATTCTCTGGATTGCTTACTATAAACCCATTAGCTGAATTTAAATTTCTTGGGGTTCTTCTGAACCTGGCTATCATGCATGGAATTTAGAATTGTTTCTTTTTCACATTTTGCTTATTTTTAGTCTCTCCAAAAGACTCCTGGTTATGTAGCAGATTTAGGGAAAATGTTAGAATTTGCATGTTTGGCTTTGAGCTTAAAGATGATCTTGGTTATAAAAAGTGTGCAGCTTTTCCTCTCTTTTTTACCTTATATTTTGATACTTATTTTATGGCAATTTCACAACCTTTTGTAGTAGGGATGTACAAAAACTATAAAATACCTTTTATAAAAATTTAAAAAATGATTTTTATATACCAACTAGCTACACAGGGGTCACATCCAATATTTTTGTACAATTATGGCATTGAAAGACATTTTTGAATCCTTCAGTTATTAAAATTGGTCTTAAATCCCCTGCCACTGTTATGCATGTCAAAAAAATGTGGTATGTCGTGGCAAAACTCTACTGTTAAACTACGGTAACATCTGTCTTGCAATAGCAAAGTGAAAGAGGAAAGTAAAATTGCTTTAGGACCTTGTTGAAATCAGATAACCATATACTCTAGACAAAATGGCTTTTAAATTCTTCATAATAATCAATACTTCAGGACACTAAGAGACAACAGTCAAAGGCTATTCTAATGTCCACCGCTATCCAAAACTGTGCAAAGAAAATTTGTTTTTTACTCTCCACTGGTGAGATAAATTTCCTTTTCAACTGCAAGCAGTGCAGGACCTGCACTTTCTGCAGGGTGCACACCAAGGGATTTGTTGGTACTCTTTAGCCACAGTTCTGCAGGGCTGACAGGGCAACCCGTGGGGGGAGGCATTGGGACCCAGCCACTGCCTCTCCTACAACCACGGGAACATCTAGTCCCAGTTCTGCTACATCATCCAGACCAGGTCAATGGAGAGGAATAAGGAGGAGGAAAGAAGGAATACCTTTTGAACAAAGAGAGATTTCGCACACAAATCCATCATACATTACGTCTTCTCTCCATTATAATATACGTGTAAATTATCTCTGAAAGCTGGGCCTACAGATTTAGTGGGAGCTATAAAAAAAAAAAACAATAATCAACACTCAAAATTGGCTAATTCATTTAATTCTCTACGAGGAAAAACTATTAATTATATGGGGACTGTTAGTGGGCCATCTAACCAAGGGTGTCCTTAGATAAATAATAAATCTGTAATAGTTTGCTAGGACTGCTGTGACAAAGTACCAAATAGACTGGGTGGTTTAACCAACAGATATTTAATTTCTCACATTTCTGGAGACTAGAAGCCTGAGACCAAGGTGTTGGCAGGGATGGTTCCTTCTAAGGGCCATCAGGGAAGAACCTGTTCCGGGCTGCTTTCCTTGGCTTGTAGGTGGCTGCATTCTTTTTTTTTGTATTCATATTTTCTTCCCTTTGAACATCGGTGAGGTTTCTTGCCACTGATTTTCCATCTCTGCCCCTCCTAATTAGTTGTCCCACCCGAGGACTAGGTGTTCTCTTTCCTCCCATCAAATCTTCAACTAGAAAGGAGGATATGAAAATATCCTTAGTGGAAGGGTTATCCCTCATCCCTAAGGGTAGTAATTCTTTTGCTGTACCGGTTCTTCTGTCCTCCCAAATCTTGTGAAAGCTTATTACAATAACTAGCCTGTTTTCGGTTTTGGTTTTGGTTTTAATCTTCAACTCTCTTTCTTTAATAATTAATCTTCAACTCTCTTTAATTTCTTTAATTTAATAATTTACTATTCCACTTAAAAATACATCACAATGAGTACGTTGCTGCTTCTCATTTTCCCACCATTTTATGAAAGTGTGAGGTCTAAGAGTTGCCTACACTTCACATTCTCAGCTTCTATGCTCTTTTCAGACCACTTTCTCTCTACTCTGCTTCTGAAACTCTTATCCTGAAGGCCATCATCTCTCTTAATTACCAAATTTAAGGCCCATTTTTAATCCTCTTTCAAAATGACCATTCTGTAGCTTTGGCAATATTACCCACATCTTCCTTCCTGATAATTTCTCCTCTTGCTGTTGTTTCTTCCAGATTACTTTCTCTTCATTTGCTTCCTGCTACTCTGACATATCGTCTTCTGTATTTATTTTATTTTGATAGTTATTGTCAAATTGCTCTCCAAACAAATGAGCACCAGCAATGTATGAGGGTATATCCCTTTTCAAATAGTCTCGCCAGTTAAGATGTTATAGAAAGTTTTAAACCATCTTCAGTCTAATGGATATGTATAGATAGATAGATATTCATCGTTTTTTTAAACAGTATTTCCTTCACTACTGTGCATTTGAACAACTTTTCCTGTTTGGCTATTTGGATTTGCTTCTCTGAATATTCATATTTTCCCTTCATTTTTGTTGTTTTTCAGGTTGCTTGTCTTTTTTCCTCAACAATTTGTAAGAGCTCCTGGTATAATATAGATATCAGTCTTGTTAATACATGGAAACAAAATTTGAACTTTTAGTGAGAACCTACTGATTTTGTTTATATTTTTCCACATGTGCATTTTTATGTGTGTGTATTAAAAATCTCCCTCTGTTAATCATATTAGATTTCCATGCATAGATAACAGTTTGCCAATCCAAAGATTATGTATGTTATTTGTATATTTACTTCCATTTAAATCTTAGACCCCTCTGGACATTATTTTTTAATATGGTATGAAATGGGGATCCAGTTTTTCTAATTGTTTCCATTTGAAGAATTGTTTTAAATTACTTGCTTAATCTATTGAGTTCAAATAGAAGTTGAAAATAACATCATTACTCAATTTAAGGATGTGACTCTATTGTTATATAGTCAACTGAGCTTTTCTTTTTAATTAATAGAATTTAGTTTTTAGTGCAGTTTAAGGTTTACTGAAAAATTGAGCAGAAAGTATAGAGTTCCCATAAAATTCCTCTTCCCCTGGCCTCAGTTTCCTCTATTATTAATATCTTGCATTGGTGTGGTACATTTATTATAACTGGTGAACCACTATTGATACATTATTATTAACTAATGCCAGAGTTTACATTAGGGCTCACTCTTCATGCTGTACAGTTCTATGGATTTTGCCAAATGCAAAATACCTTGTATATAACATTATGATAGTACAGAAAAATTTCCCTGCCCTAAAAATCCCCTGCACTCCACCCACTCATTCTCTTACCCTTCCCCCAAACTCCTGGCAACCACTGATGTTTTTGCACTCTCTAGAGTTTGCCTTTACAGAATGTCATATAGTTGAAATCATATGGTATACTGCCTTTTCATACTGCCTTATTTAATTTAGCAATACACATTTTAGATTCCTCCATGTCATTTCCTGGTTTGAGAACACATTTCTTTTTATTGTTGAGTAAAATTCTATTGTATGGTTGTATAATGGTCAGTTTATCCATTCAGCTCTTAAAGGATATCTTGGTTGCTATCAATTTTTGGCAATTATGAATAAAGCTGCTACAATCATTTGTGTGCATATTTTTGTGGTAAAATAATTTTCCCAATTCATTAGAGTAAGTATCTAGGAGTGCGATCACTGAATTGTATCCTAAGACGATGTTTAATTTTGTAAGAAACTGTCAGGCTATCTTCCAAAGGGCAGTGCCATTTTGTATTCCTACCAGCAGTGAAAAAGTGTTCCTGCCAATTGGATTTTTGAATAAATATCTATTACTCAAACTAATATCATCATGCAATGAGTTTATATATTTTTTCTTTTCCATTAGAAAGTTTTGCTGCAAGTAGGTTGACATATTGAATAAAAGAAAAATCATTATGATAGCACAAATTACTAAAGTTTATAGGAGAATTTGTGTACAAAATGTTTTGTAATTAAGCTGGCATTAGGAAACCCGAAATTTCACAACTTTGGATTTAAATAGCTCTTTTGCTCTCCTTGAACCTAGAAGGCAGACTTTGACCTCTTGACCTTAACACACATCTTAATTTTTCTCCCCCCAGATTTCTTGAAAATTTATTGGGGTAAAATTAGTTACAATAGCCAATGTGACCATCTTATTCTCTTTTGTTAGGCTAATATTGAGAGGAATGGGGATACCATATTCAAGGATAAAAAAGACTTGTGAAACATTAAGTTACTAATCCTAGCATGATCCTGCTAGTAGGAGTATAAGAATTGACCCACCAAATTATTCACTCATTTTCCTAAGTCACACAGTAATAGATACTAAGCCACCATTGAATTTGAGTTTCTGTTTTATCTACGATTTCTCACCCACAAAAGAAAATGTAGAGAGGCAGAGATATAAGATCTTAGTACAAGTATGTTAGCTCTTTTTGTTTGGTAGCTATTGGAATTACAACATGAGGATAGGAGAAATATTTTTCTTGTTACGTATTTAAAGAAAAAAATCACAATAATGATAATTCAACTCTCAAACATTTAAGAATAAAATGTAGAGATGCAGTTCTTATTTTAGAAAAAGGAGCAACATGATAAATGTGATATTACGATTTTTTTTCCAATTAGGAATATTTTGTGTAATATATACATGTCAGGTTATTATAATTTTGATTCTGTCAAGCATAACAATGAATGTGAAATCACTTAGTAGAATTTTTAATAATGTAAATTAAAATTTTTGCATGTGACTCTAAGTGATATAAGAAAATTATAGGTTAACTGCAGGGATGAATCCATTTAGTCATTGTTTATAGTCATAGAATGGAAAATATTCCAAAAACAATTCAACCTATGATAGAATAATCTTCAACATTTTTCTCAGAGCTAAAATAAACATCTAAATAAATCTTGCATTATGTTCTATACGAATAATTATTTTGATATTAGTTTCACAAATGTTATTTTCACACCCAGTGTTAATTAACTTTTAAATCTACTAATTAAAACAGCAGAATCTGGGCTTCCCTGGTGGCGCAGTGGTTGAGAGTCCGCCTGCCGATGCAGGGGACACGGGTTTGTGCCCCAGTCCGGGAAGATCCCACATGCCGCTGAGCGGCTAGGCCCGTGAGCCATGGCCGCTGAGCCTGCGCGTCCGGAGCCTGTGCTCCACAATGGGAGAGGCCACAACAGTGAGAGGCCCGTGTACCGCAAACAAAAAACAAAAAAACCCAGCAGAATCTCATGTTCTAATACAAATGGAGACAATTTTCTTCCCAGGGAACCAAGTTAAGTCAGTATTCAAACTTAGAAACAGAATATAGACAAAAATATTAACCTTCCATTTCAGCCAACCTCTAATTAACACATGCATGAAAAAGTAGATTAAACAAAATTCTTAAAACTGAATAACTCCATGCTTACAGATCATCAGATCATGATGAAAAACAAAACAAAAATTGCTTAATTCTTGCATAATTGGACAAGTTAGGAACCAATGGTGGAAACATTTTATGAAAACACAAATCAGTACACATTCTAATATTATCTCAATTAAACCTACACTTACTCATGTCTCTACCATCCTCCTTGTTTCCTCTAACCTGCAGAACCTCTTCCTTATTCATCATCCCTTGCCCAGTGACTGAGAATAGTTAGCTGGAGGATATCCTACCTGCCTTCTCATCTCAACCAATATCAATCAAGCCAGGCAATATTTTAGGGACTGAAGATATAGAAGTGATCAGAAGTCCATATACCTGTCTTCATCAAGGTTATATTTTTACTCAAGTGATAGACATAAATGAATTAAAAATAAATAAGTAATGATCTTAAATCCTGAATCTTACTGTGCAAACTTGAGTTAGTTATTTAACCAGTTATTTAACCTACTAAGCCTCAGACTTTTTTTAACCTATAAAATGGGGATGATAATATTGCTTACCAGTGGCTGTGTGTGTATGAACATATATACAAGAGAATACATATAAAAAATATATATATATATATATTTATCTGTCTTAAGATAAAATTAGCTTTCTTTAAAAGAGAATTATAAATCCCAATCAGACTGAGCAAGGATCCTTGTGTAGACAGAAATCAAGCTCATGGAAGTAAGCATATACTTTAATCAGATCTTGTGCTATAAACTGCCTTTGTTGACATGATGGAATATAAAGAAAGATATAAATTATGGATGATCCAGTGAGCAAAGAACCTTGTTATTTGACTACTTGAGCTGAGGCATGAAGCCCAGAAAAGTGAGAAAGTTAAACATCAAATACAAATAATATTTTACTATAAGGCTGCTTTCTTAACCAGAGGAGTGCTGACTTAATTTGTGATATGATCTCTTCAGAACAAAAGAGATCACCCTGCCTCAAAATAACTTCCAGTGCCCAATATTCTACCAGTAGAAAGCCAATAGAAGTGATTTTCTTAGTTCTCTTAATGGTTTTAGGTCAGTTTAGGTTTCAAGATACACACAGTTACTATATAAAGTTGCTTTTTAGGTTACTGGACATGAAAGAGACAAGGAAGGGTCAAATGTCACTGAAGGTGGAGACGGAATGGTACAGAAGATGTACTGCCTACATTGAACTTTTGAAATAGATGATCCTGTTTTAGTATCTGGCAGTGATCTAATTTTTCAGTGGAATGTGTCATAACTCGCCCAACATGAGGCAGACTACCCGCAAGTTCCAAGAAACTGCCAGAGGGGCAGTCAGAGGGTATAGCTGAATCTCTACATGATTTGAAGGAGTACAAGAGCAGGCAAGAGTCGATTTGAAGCTGGGAGTGGCAGGACCAGGAAATAGAAGATGGGACTTGAGCAATGCATGTTGCCTCACCCATACAAATCAGACCTGCTGAGTCAAACCAGACTTGAGCAGTTATATGGTACCCTGGGAAAATGAAGAAAAGCCAGGGAAACAATTATGTTGAGTTAGGAAGAGAGAGTCACTAAAGCAGGCTGGAAAGGGAAACAACCCATGTCAAACCAGGAGAAATATTGATGGTCGCACAGTGGCAAAGAAAATGCATGAATAGGATCCACATGATCTTGTGTTAGACACCGCATTGCTCCATCCCACTCATATTCTTGCTTATTCCATACATAAAGGTCTTTAGCATACCTTCTGGAATTTTTGTAATTATGACATATTATTCATGCTGCCCTGATATCCCAGAGTTCACTGACCTAAGTAAGACCACAGGGAAAAGAATTAAGTAGTTCTTTCTTTGTATTCCTAAATCATGATGGCAACAGTCCCCTCATTTGATTGGTAGAACGTAATGACCACGAAAGTGTAATGTCATCTAAGGTGTCTCACACGCTTCCCAAGTCAGTTTTCAGCTACCATCAGGATACAGGGTCTGTGGCCATTGCTGTGCTGGAAGGGTGACCATGAGCTCACAAGAGCCAGCTGTGCACATTTCTCCCAAATCCATGTTTAGTGAATTTATGTTGATAGCTTTAAATTGGCTATGATGGAAAAGACTATAAACCAGGGCTTTTTAATCCTCCCTGGAGAGCTGGTTGTCAAATATTACCAGCACACCACCAGGTTTGCTCTGGTCTTTCTTTCCAACAGCTCTCATTTGTGGCTTAATTCCACTGCTCATGAAGCCATTTGGAAAAGCCCCACCATTCCAACCGCTTACCGTGAGTTCAATAGTAATGTCAATAGTATTGTTGCCAGATGCATCAAAGGCTTCCAATCTTGGGATTGCCAGAACATTCCTGGATTCCATGCAAAGATGGGAAGAAGAATCTCCTACCTCAACTCTTCATTTTTGTCACCTAGGCTCTAAAAACTCTTAGTATTTCCATGGTTTCTTGGTCTATTTTATTGACTTCTCTGTGGTGTCTCAAAATGAATCCAACAAACAGTGTAGGAGATAGATGGTATTCCAACCCTTCTCTGATTTGTTTTACCCCTTAAGGGCCTCATGCCAACTACCAAAATGTGGTTCTTCTTCCCCAAAGGCATATATATATATATATATATATATATATATATATAAAACTATGGGAAAGGAGAGAGAAGTAATGTTGTCTGATGACAGGAGGGGCAGATGGAGTCCAACTTAGCCAAAAAGTAAGCATGCCATTTAAACTTATTTTTTAAAGTCATGCACCAATTGTGCTATACATATCTCTTTTGCTCCATTTCCCAGATTAACTCTTCATGCTTTTTCACTCTGCTCTTTGTTGTGGGAAATTAATACATAGGGACTACCTCAATGGTTCCCTTTCCTCCTCACCTCCTGTTGAGTTTGGCCAAAGGAAGACACTAGCAGGAGATCTGAAGCTTGGATGGTCTTTTCTATATAGCTGCTCTCCCTAGGTTCTCATAACTGTTCTCTCCTGTGTCCCTTGTTCTAGGGTTAGAAACAGCTCCCTGCTGTTGCTAGTGTCAGGATACAGCACCATCCCTCACTGTTTTCCTAAAACCTCACCCTGTACCTTTTAAAAAAAATCCTTTCTATTAAAATCTCATCAATTATCCAGTTTGAGTATGCCATTCCTTATTCTGCTGGGATCCTGGCTGCTATGCCAATTAAACTGTCATAGCCCATGGAGTTTAATGTTCTTCTCACTAAAAGTATTTCTATTTGGTATATTAATAAATCATATACTTACGTTGTTTCAACTATAAAAAAACAAGAAACCTAAGAATCATTCTGCGAAAAGTAGTGGTTTACTTGACCTTAATTATTGTACATCTATCTCACCTATAATTTTATGAAATCTTGTCAGAGTTCAGTAATTTTTTTCTGAATGCATAATTTCACTTGACATACAAAGAGAAAAATCAAAGATAATGGAGGA